ATTGACACCTGCATAAAGAAATAAATATTAAAAGGGGAAGAAAATAAAGGCAAGATGGGAAAGAAGTTTAAAATTCAATTATGGATGCTTAATTTATTTAAATATAAAAAATTAGGGCTTGCAGTTTTTATTTTTCCATGTTTTGAAAAGGAGGCACCATAAACTTCCTATCGGTTAGCAAAAACCAATCTGAAGTGTATTTTAAAGTGCTGGAGTTTTACTTATAATGCCCTTCAGGCTTGGCACTGGATATGTATAGATCTGCCTTCTAACAACATTGGGCAGACCTTTTAGAATTTATTGAGAAAAAGCTATTAATGGTTTTACATTTTCTGGAGAGGAAGGGAATCAAGACAAGAGGGTATTCTTTCTCTGCAACATTGCTGCCGTTACTTTCGAATGGCCTCCCACCGGAGAGCAGATTTAACTCCTTCTATCTTTTAAAAAGTGGCTAGAAACTGAATTATTCTCCAGAGCATTTTCTGGATTTTTAAAATTAATTTCTTGTATTATGTTTTTTAATTTCTTTTTAAGAATACTTTGCATTCTTTTAGAGAGTCTTTGGGGCCACTGGAGGTTTTCTGTGTACTCACAGGAATGTCTATGAGAATCTCCATAGACATTAGCTACCGTGTTTCCTCAAAAAATAAGACTTATATTTGTTTTGGGACCATTAGGTCTTATTTTCAGAGGATGTCTTATTTTGTGGCCACATGCTCCCTCTCACCATCTGCTTGCCTGCAGTTGCAACAGCTTACAGGGCTTCCCCGGGCAGTCACACTTTTCACCCAGATGGAGAAATGATGGAGACTGGAAGCTTCATCTACTTGCAAATGGGGCGCTTTGAAACAAAATTAATCACTCTGTTTCAAAGTGCCCCATTTGCAAGCAGATGAAGTTTCCAGTCTCCGTCATTTCTCCGTCTGGGTAAAAAGTGTTTGGGAGCCTATGAGGCACTTGGAAATGGAGTGATTTGCTCTGTTCCCAAGTGCCCCATAGGTGCCCAAACACTTTTCACCCAAAGGGAGACTGGAAGCTTCATTTACTTGCAAATGGGGTGCTTTGAAATGGGGCTAATCACTCTGTTTCAAAGCACCCCATTTGCAAGCAGACAAAGCTCCCAGTCTCCCTCTGGGCAAAAAGTGTGTGTTGGAGCCAGGCGGAGGCAGAGGCATGGGGGGGGGAGAGGAGGCAGGTGATCCTGACATGCAAAATGCAGCCACCTGACTCGCAGGAGGCTGGTGTGACAGCACTGGCAGCAGGTGGAGGCAGAGGCATGGGGGGAGGGGGGGCAGGTGATCCTGACATGCCGCCCACTTTGTCCCACCATCTCTCGGTTTGCCCACAGCCGTGCTGGGATTGCCTGCCTCCTTCCTATGACTCTGCCTCCCCCTGATGCTGGTGCCACTGCACAAGCCTCCTCTGAGCCAGGCAGCCATGTAGCATGTCCAGATTGCCTGCCTCCCCTCGCCCAGCTCTGCCTCCATACTTGGATTTACCTGTGCTTCACCAAGGGGCTGGCGGGCTGTGGCTGGTGCCAGACACCATCAGCCCCCGCACATTTGCCGCCTCTTATGCTGACCATGCCATCGCCCTGGGCTTATTTTGGGGGTAGGGCTTATATTAGGCCCACTCCCAAAAATTAGGGTAGGGCTTATTTTCAGGAAAATACAGTAGGCACTTTGGGATGAAGTCCTTCGAATGGTGCAGGAATATGAATGGATTTCCAGAAAACATTGCAGACTACAAGAAAAGGGCAGAAAACATCCTGCAGCCAAGAAGGCTCCATACCCATCTGCACTACTCAGGTGACCCTGAGGACACAGAAAACCTCCACATGGCCCCAAAGACTCTCTAAGAATGAAAATGACCAGCTGACTGCAAGTAATATAAATCCATCCATTCCCCAATATCCAGTCAGAGCTGAAGAAGCTTTTTGGATGAGAAGTGAAATGTCTTCAAAGAAAAACAAGGAAGTCCAGTTGCCTCCTGAAAAAGCACCTTTGGGACAACCATGACCTGGATGAATGAGAATCTCCATAGACATTTTTAAATAATGGGTATGACTCAGAAAAAGATAGAGTGCTCCATATGTACCTGAGATCCATCAGGCACAGATTCAATCCCAGCACTGTTTTTTAAATGCCTCAAAGCTTTTAAAAAAGTTAAAGTTAAAAGCTGTAAAATATTTGACATTACAGCTGATTAGCTTTTCAGTGTATTGCAGTTTGTGAGCTTTTATGTCTCTCAGCAATAATAAATCATGAATTAAGTTGAAATCTGTTGCAGTGAAAAGTGATAATATTCAGTGAATTGAAAAAGGACAGAAATCAATATCTTCTACGGCAAGTAGAGAAGCAAATGTCAGGGGTGTGTGTTGTGTTTGTGAGGCTTTCTACTAGGAAAAGATTAAATTCAGTAAAAATTACATAAGAAGTGCTAATAAATAAATATTGTTCCTTGGCAAACAATTTTAGGGCATTTTATAAAGAACAGAATCCATATGGTGGTTAAAACTTTGGACTAGTTCCAGCTTCAAGCCCATCCTCAGCCACAGAAATTCCCTGAATGATTTTGAGCCAGGCATTCTCTCTTAGCCCTCTCTGCTACATCATGTTGTGGGAATAAAATAAATATTTATTTGGATTTAAAGGCTGCTTAACTCCCAAATGATTCTAGAGGGGGGAGGGTTTTACATTTTAAATGTAGGTTGCAAGGGAATGAGAAAGAAAATGTATGTCCATAGAACCACACATACAAAAAAAGTACTGATACTCCAAAAATACAGGACTTAACAGCCAACCTTGAGAACAATTGCAGGGTGGGACCCAGAGAAGACCTATTTCCTAGGTCCTAATAAATAACATTATTTAATTGAAGGGGCTGGAGCACACCTGCTCTGTCTGAACTTATATGGTAGGCAGTAACTATAGAGGTAGATAAATAGTCACCAATAGTTATTTTATAGTCACCAATATCTTGAATTATACCTAGAAGCAACCAGTGGCACTCACAAAGCAGTGAAGACATATATGTGCTACTGCATTCTGGACCAACTGTACCTTCTGAATGGTCTTCAAAGGCAGCCTCATGTATACTGCATTGCAGTAGTCCATTGTAATGTATCTACAGCAGGGATCTCATGTAAGCCACCTTGGAGGACAAGTAAAATAGAAATTCCAACAAATATAAGTATATATATAAAATGAGTAAGTAGCCATGCTGCTGCTGCAAAACTCTTTGTTGCGTACATTGCCATCCAGATTTATTGAAATATGGGACTGATGATTGATAACACAAGTTTAGAACTTCTGTCAAATGTAGAAAAGTGCTACTCTAAAAATGTACTGTTCATCAAGGGAAATCCTTTCCACATATTTCATACAGCCAGCATAACAAATATACAAAGTATCTCAAAAAAAATTTTTTTTTCTGGTCAGTTAAAAAAAAAAACTTTGGAAATGAGGTGTAAACCTTTGTTTCTCTGAAAAAAATGATCTACAATGACTCAGTTGAGACATTTACCTTTAATCTTCATTCAGGTTTCAGCACAGCTGCTTCCTTATTCAGTGATTTAAAATGTTTATAACTTGCTCTACCTCACTGAATTCCAGAGGAAGAGGCAATGAAAACAAATTAGTCAATCCAACAATAAAACTTAGATTTATATAAGGGGCTTGCCTGAAATGAATGCAATTAAAAAGAAGCCATTCTTTCTCCCCCCCCCCTTGATAGGAAATCTATTCTCCCTCTAGTCTGCTACCAGATTAGCAAAATGACACCCAAACCCCATTTTCTAGTCAAGATGCATAACAATCACCCTGATTTAATAGGGTGGCAAATCCTAGAAATATAAAAATACGAGAACGCAAGCCCAATAGCAATACAATTTTAGAAAGAAACCTTTGGCTGACTTTCAAACCAGCTATCTTGCTCTGCCTGTTAAAAATTCTCACCTTACTGCGTCAATATCTTTAACATTCCCCTCAGGCTTAAAAGCCTCTTGTCACATTGAAAATGTATGTTGGGAAGGGACGTAATGCTTCCTAAATTGTAGGATAACAAGAAATGAAATCCCAGAAAGGGAAGAAGAGGGGGAAGCAGAAGGGGAAAAGAACACAGCTCCTGTCCTTTGGTTCTATATTTTCTTTGCCCATCTTCAGGCACATCTGTGCATAACCATGCACAACCAAGCGACAGGAAAACCAGTCTCTGCTGAGTGAGACCTCAGCCCACTTCTCATCTTTAAGTTTCTTGAGAATGAGACTGAAGAAATGGCCTAGGGCGACACCTAAGGGCCAAAAGAAACCCTGCATTATAACAATACAAGAGTCGGTATATTTTATCCATGAATGACTGTGAAGAGCGGACCGCAAGCTCAGCTGCTCCTCCTCCTTCTTCTCCTGCTCCTCCTCTCTGTCCTCCTGCATTCATTCGAGAGCAAACTTGTGGAGCCGCTAAATGTGTCACAAGAGCAAAAGAACTCACCTGACATTCTTGGACCTTCCCAGCTGGATAGGACTAGCTTCTAATGTTTCTCTCTAGGGGTGGGGGAGGGAGAGAGCTCTGTGATTCAGGAGTTGCTAAAAGAAAAAAAAAAAGTGAGCTAAAGGTAAGAAAAATTTATTTGTAACTCTGAAAGGCACTTTTAGGCAAGGCATGCTTGTGTGTTTGTTAATTGTGTCATCCCTTGAGTTTTGTTTTAATTGTAGTCTGGCTTTCTACATCTATATTTAGACTGATGCAGAGCCATCCATATACAAGGAGGAACTGGGATAAATATTGCAGCTGAAAAAAAAAAAAAGACTGGGAGAACTAATAAGCAAGTCTTGATTGTTGTTTTGAAGCAAACAGAAACAAGCCATTGAAATTACACTCCTGAGTTTGAATGAATGCCTTGTGAGAGAGTAGATTCAAAATGTAACTATGTGGCTCACAACGTTGGTGTGATTCCTTATTTATTTTCTCTCCCCCTTATTTTATTTCATTTTTTGCTATAGGAGGAACAAATGAAGTAATTTAGAAAAAGAGCAAGATTTATCCTACGGGTGGAAGAGAACTCATAACTATACATCAACTGCATGCACAAGTCCAGCTGAAGGATCCACAGCGAAAGGGAGTCAACGGGACTTATAAATAAATAAATAAATAAATAAATAAATAAATAAATAAATAAATAAATAGGCAAAGGGCCAAATGGGAGTAAAAGGGACCTTCAGGAAAAGGAAAGCAGCACTGAAAGGCCTGGTCCCAAGAAAGGGGAGGCTCTAAAGGACACACTGCACTGCAGAGAAGGCGTCTCTCTCTTCTCAGTTCAGCCTTGCAAAAGAGTCTGGGTGGGAACCATCAACCATGGATCTTTGGTATTGTTCAAATTGTTCCTTGAGCAATGCCACCCTGGAAAACCCCACTTCACAAGCCAACCAAACTTCAGTCATAAAACGGAACGAGGACATTGCCAAGGTAGAGATTGCGGTGCTCTGCCTCATCTTTTTCCTCGCCTTGACAGGAAACTTATGTGTACTGCTGGCTATCTACACAACCCGCCACAAACATTCCCGCATGTACTTCTTTATGAAGCATCTGAGCATTGCTGACCTAGTTGTGGCCATCTTTCAGGTCTTGCCTCAGCTCATCTGGGACATCACCTTCAGGTTCAAAGGGCCAGATTATCTCTGTAGGCTGATCAAATACCTGCAAGTGGTGGGGATGTTTGCTTCCACCTACATGCTGCTGTTGATGTCGCTGGATCGGTGTCTGGCCATCTGTCAGCCCTTGAGGTCTTTACATCAGAGGTCTGACCGGTTGTCTGTGCTCCTCACATGGGTTGTGTGCCTCCTCTTCAGCATCCCGCAGCTCCAGATATTTTCTATGAAGAATGTGTCCCATGGAGGGATGGATTGCTGGGCGACATTTATTCAGCCTTGGGGTCCTAAAGCCTATGTCACCTGGATGACCTTGACTGTGTACATCATCCCAGTGATTGTGCTAAGTGTCTGCTATGGCTTGATCAGCTTCAAAATTTGGCAAAATGTGAAGCTAAAAACTGTCCATGAAACAAGTGTGAACCTAACCTCTAGTAATTCTCACGGAGGCACCCTCTCCAGAGTGAGCAGCATCAAACTCATTTCCAAAGCCAAGATACGGACAGTCAAAATGACCTTTATTATTGTCTTAGCCTTCATTATGTGCTGGACTCCTTATTTTATTGTGCAGATGTGGCTTGCATGGGATGAAAATGCTCCGAAAGAAGGTATAGTTCTCCTTTTTTTTAATACTTGCCTATGTAGCTCTGTGCAGTAATTTGCCTCACTGTAATTTCTTTAAAAACTATATAACTGAACTATTATCAGTAGAGCTGATCTGTAATGTGGCATTCAACAAAGCTTTAGGGAATATGCAGATTAAGAAAAGAAAACATTATTCAAATGAAAAAAGATTCATTGGTTCATTGACTAGGACAATAGAGCTGGTAAAATTTAAAAATTGATTTCAGATCTTAGATATTAGTTATGTGACCTTGGATAAATTTCCAAGTATCTCTGCCCATAATTATCCTGTGATAACATAGGGAACTTGGATGCTTTTATTTGGAAGCTGGAAATCCGGAGACAGATTAATCAGAATAATTGGCATAGAAAAGCCAGGTATTTTTTTGCATACTTAGCCACATCAACTATTTTTTTTCTGTTAATCTTAGTGGGAGCACATGAAAGATAATGTTTATATCAACTGCTGTGAGAAAATGGGAAATTACTTTTACAAATAGGATGGATAATCTTTTTCACTGAAGGAGCTCCACGCTCTCATTTTGACTTTACTCCATAAATCAGCTGATTTCTAAATGCTAGCTCAGAAATGAAGGAAGCAGAGAAATTTTGTGAATGAGTTGTGCAGGCTATCGTTGACTGGGGAGTTGGTAGCTTGACATGGAGGGGCACCAATCAAATGCACTTTTTATCTTAAGAATGGCTAATATTGAGAAGGGCTAAAGACTAAATCACACTAATACAACCATACATAAAAAGTTTAATAATTTAAACATGCCTTTATGATGATGATGATGATGATAATAATAATAATAATAATAATAATAATAATAATAATAATAATAAAGTTGGAAGGGACCTTGGAGGTCATCTAGTCCAACCCCCTGCTCAGGCAGGAAACCCTACACCATTTCGGACAAATGGCTGTCCAGTCTCTTCTTAAAAACTTCCAGTGTTGGAGCATTTACTGCTTCTGGAGGCAGGCTGTTCCACTGATTAATTGTTCTCACTGTCAGGAAGTTTCTCCTTAGTTCTAGGTTGCTTCTCTCTTTGGTTAGTTTCCACCCGTTGCTTCTTGTCCTGCCTTCAGGCACTTTGGAAAATAGCTTGACTCCCTCTTCTTTGTGGCAGCCCCTTGCTTCCCATTTGCCTAAAATTAACTGTGTAATAATCTCTTAGCAAAAAGATTTTTGAAATATGACATTACTTTCTTATTTGCTCATCCCCCTTTTTACTTTGAAAAGGTTGGATTGTCATCATTGGGTACTTTGAGGTATCCCAATGTTCTCTGCTCTTTTATTTGTCCCAGAACGGGAAATTTTTCCTCTGAAATATAACAAACTAATGGATGCAATTTTTAAGGGTTTTGGCTGCTATCACTCCAGTATCAACAATGTGTGGTTCAAAATAAGAGCTATGTGGCAAAGCATCCTTTCCAGCATACTTTCTAATATTTAAATGGCTTGAAATCACCCTTCCATATATCACCTTTCCACCAACAGGGTCCAGTCTACAGAGAAGATGCCAAAGTCTATCAGCTGGCTCACAAAATGAGCGATACTATTTTGGCATTAAGCATCTACTCGTGTGGGGGAAAACACTCAGACTGCCACTATCTCCATTACCTCCAAAATTTTGTAACTGAAGTGTGCAAAGGATTGGGCAGAACCCATTGTGGCCAATGTGAATGTGTATTTTGCTGAACTAACTGTATCTCTTGTTTGGGCTGTTACAATGTGAAAAATCCAATACTAGCTACAGCAAAACAGTCTTATGTGGCACCAAAAGAAGAGAATATTTGTAGCTCAGGGTTCAACTGTGGAGTCCTTGGTGCTCTCTGAGCTTGAAGGTTTTCTTGCAGACCTTTCATTGCCAAACTAGGTAGCACCATCAGTGCTGGTAAAAGGTCCAGGTGCAAGAAAACTATCAAGCTCAGAGAGAACCTAGGACCCTACAGGTCTTATATGGCTAGGACTTTAAATGCAAGTTCCACTTGTACCCCTTCAGAAAATAAATATTTGCAAAACAAATGTTTAGCCATAGTAACTGGAAAAAACCTCAAAATGAAATGGAACTGAAACTTGGCAAAGTGAATAGAATAGAATAGAATAGAATAGAATAGAATAGAATAGAATAGAATAGAATATCGGAGGTGGAAGGGACTTTGGAGGTCTTCTAGTCCAACCCCCTGCTCAGGCAGGAAACCCTATACTATTTAAGACAAATGGTTGTCCAATCTCTTCTTAAATTTGGTTAGACCTGTTAAACCTTAGACAAAAATTGGGTGGCTCTGGAGGATTGATAGCTGGTTACCTTTGTGTTTAGAGAGGAGCCATTAAGTTCCTTCCAGCTCCACTATTGTTTAAACTTTACCAACATCAAAGTTGCATTCATACTCTGAATGCCCAGCTACTACAACTGAAATGTGTACTGTTCACTTGTCTCTCTCCAACTTCAAATATCTTGCTCCTTCTTTTCCCACAAAAGATCATTTTGAGATTATGTATTTTTCAGTAGAGAAATAAAGGATGAGCTTGCTTAGCCATTTCCCTCTTCCTATTTTTCCATTTCAATTATCCTTCCCCAGCTGGGAGGAAGAAAAATCTTTATGAGCCGACAGTCCTGGTGTTGCCGCAAGGATATAGAGAACCCAGATTTGTTTTCCTGTTCTGACTGCAACCCTCTTTTGTCAGGGGCTTTCTCTCAACGTAACTTCTGTTCATGGTCCCGTTGTACATATCTGCTCAGCGCATGGACCTCATGAGGAAAATCATCATATTACTATTTCAATGAAAAGCCAAAGAATAAGATATTATCTATCTCTCTTATTATTATATTCTCCACAAATCAAAAATATATTCAGGACTGTAAATTATCCCATCCAGTCATAAAAGAATCCAGGAACTGGATCTATTGCTCTGTCCAAGCAACTGCCAACTAAGTTTGCTATGTAGAGCATCTGTGACAATAGTATCTTTCCTTTAATCAGTTAGTGCTCTTCCTCTAGGCTGGTTTAAGCCCAGCCACTAAGATATTATCTTTGCTGTACGTATGACAACCTTACGGTAGCTTATTACTATAGTCAGTTTGGACTAGCGGTTAAGACACCAGGTGAGAAACCAGGAGACCATGAATTCCAGTCCTGCCTTAGGCATGAAAGCCGGCTAGGTGACCTTGGTGGCTAAAACAAGGCATAGATTTAAATTAGAAAAAAAATTCTAGGCTATGACTCTTGCGTTGTGGGGAAGGGAATGGATAAAAGTGATACATGATGTCAAAGCAACTTTTAATTACCCAGCTTCAGATGCAGCCAGAGCTCACTTAACAGACAGTAAACTCATCTTAAGAATGTGAGATTATCTTTGGAGTGAGCATGCACTGTTCATTTCATGCCAGGGTTATTAATAAAAGAAATATCAACAATTCCCAGCCCAACTCCCTCAAAGGGTGGTTGTGGGGTAAATAGGAGGAGGAAAAAGCATTATGTATGTTTGCCGCCTTGAGATATTTATAAATATAATAAATGGGATCAAAATAAATAAAAATGAACTGTAATCTGGTCAGCTCTTATTTCTGTGAGATCTTTTGTCCTTTGTCAGTCAGAGATAAATATTTCCAAGATGAGTATATTTCTTTCACTTCAGTCATCTTTGAAAGCTTGAAGATTTTTATTTCCACCAAAACTGCTTGACTGTGTAAAAATGTGTCCCCCTTGTGCTTTAACAGACCAGGAAGACTTTTAAGAAAAAATATTGTGAAGTTTGAAAAGTTCTGCATGCCCTCTAGCCCATCCATTTGACCCTAGTAATTTCACTCCCAAGCAGTCAGACAAAATGAAATGTGTAGAAGAAGGGAGATAGCAAAAGCGGAGCAAAGGAAAAGAGGAGACATGGGAGTATGCAAAGTGTCTCCCAGCGCAGATAACCACAAAATGAAAAGAGAAGAAAAATTCATTTGGGAATTGGTTTGATAAAGAGTATGAGGAGCTTCCCAACATTTCATTATATGTTGCAGGAGAATGTTCCTTGCTTTCAGAACAGAGAAGATTATCTTACTTCTGATATGGGGCTTTATTTGCCAAAGACCATAAAAGAGTTTCCAATAAGAATATTTCTTTGTAACACTTTGCCTGCCAAATATTCCAAGAGCTCAGAGGGCTAGAAGGATTAAACTTGTCTTTGAATTGGCAGTAGAGATGGGTAGAGACCCTTACTTTTGTCTTCCTTGATGGAATTAGGAACTAATATATATTTCAGAAAAGTTGTAGCCAATTAAATGCAAAGGTATCATATAACTGACAATAGATCAAGTGAAGAGTTTGATCCTACTAAATGTTGCAAATGCCTCATTTTCACAATGATCTGGTGATCATGTTTGTCCACTGTAGGGTGAAATAAAGAATGGCCCTCTTAAAGAAGGGATGCTTATGCATAGTTTAGATAACGGTTAAGTAATTAAGAATGCAGTTCAGATACTGACCTTCCTATTCTAGACTTGACCATAGTCTTCCCCAACTCAATGCCCTCCAGAATTTTGAGTCAATATGTTCTAGTATTCCCAGATTATTTCATGGACTGTCAAACCAAGGGGAGTAGGTTATTTGTTTGTTTGTATCCAACCTTTATTATTTTTATAAATAATTCAAGGCAGCAAACATATTCAACACTCTATCCTCCTCCTATTTTCCCCACAACAATAAGCCTGAAATGGTTGGGCTGAGAAAGAGTGGCTGGCCCAAAGTCACCCTGCTGGCCTTCATGGCTAGGGTGGGACTTGAACTCATGGAATTCTGCTTTCGAACCTGCTTTAACAACTAGACCAAACTTAATTGCTATTAAACTTTTCTGTTGAGTCTTAGCTATTGTTCTAAAAGATAGTGAGCAAAATAGTAGATGATTTATGATGGGCCTTGTTGTGTCCTGAGCCTGCAAAAGCAGGCTTGGGACGTTGCATTGGTCCCGGGCATTCCAAAAGCTGCCCGAGA